ATAGTTTGGATTGGAGGAGTTGGCATAAGTAGCCTGTTTATTTCACAGGTATGAGGAGGCTTATGAGTGTCCTCAAATTTGTCGGTTAACAAGCAACCAAAAAGTAACTTCTGCAATTACTTCAAAGCAGAGGAATGATTTAGTAGAAATTTGCTGCAAACGTACATGCTTTTATTTTTAAAAAAAAGTATTTAAGTGCAATAGTGAACATTGCAGAGTAGAACATTAAAACTCAAAGAATTAAACATTCATTTTCCTGTACCTTCCTCTTTTATTTTTAAAATATTTTCAAATAATAGTCTGTTTCATCCAATCTCTGTAAATCAGTGCAACCTGGTTAATGAAATGTTTATAACTCCAAAACTTCAGCGCTCTAACTTCACTGAAAGATCCCAAGTGAAGAGACAGGATTAGTATTAATAGAAATATCTTTAATAATAGTTATAAAAATGAATAATTACATGATTCCAACATGATTTTGTTAGAAAGTTTTCCTTGCTTTCCTTTAGTTGTGACTGTAGCTAAATTTCTGATTTAAATCCTTGCTTGTCTGCCTAAACAACCTGTTATAATTTCATTATCAGACTGGCTATTAAGCTAAATTCTAGATAATGTTCCACTACCAAAAGCCTTAAATCTAGCCTTTTCCTTGTTATACATTTATTGCATTTCCTAAAAGAGTTCATCCTCTCAGGTGTCTGTGATCAGAATGAATTACATGAGAACTTATAGCTGTGTCCATTAGACCATGGAATCAACAAACCATTCTGTTTTGGCTTTTGAATTAGCTACACCTTAGTAATTAAGGGTGATGGTCAGGAGATGCAAAGAATAAGCAAGTCCACTACTGAGGATTTATACTGAGGATTTATAAAAATTCTCAGTCACCTTATAACCTCAAAAGCTATTCCAGTCAATGTTGGGCATTTCCTATAGACACATACTGGGCATCTCTACACGTGCACTTTACTGTAGAGTAGTAAAGCATCACTGTCTGCACATGCACCACAATTACAGTGCAGTGGACTAATTTACTCCAATGTAGGACAGTCCCATCAGACACAAGTACTATCTTACACTGGAGTAAATAACTGTGATTAAATGCATGTGTAGATAGTGACATGGGCATAAATTGTGCCTGGTTCAGTCAGCCAGCAGGGAGCTAGACTCCTGCCTGCATGCCAAGCCAGCTCCTCTGCCACTAGACGGAGGCATGCAGAGCCTAGGCCTGACCTCCCATGTTCCCTACCAGCCCAGAGCTGCCCCCAAAGTGCCAGCCAGCTTGCCCCACACACTGTGAAGCACAAGGCTAAGCCCCATGCTCTCTGCAAGCTGAGAGCTGCCCCTGCACCCTGGGGCTATACCACTGAGGAATCTGCCAGCCTGGACCTGTCACCCTTGGGCATTGTACCCCACCACTGCAGGCACCTGCCCCCTCATGCTGCAGCCCAGAACCTGGGGCTGCCCTGCCAAGGCCCCTGCCAGCTGCTGCCATGTCGGGCCCCATACCCACTGACACCCAGAGACAGAAGCCCAACTGGGGTCGGACTCGATGATCTATTGAGGTCCCTTCCGACCCTAACATCTATGAAACTGAACCCATGAGGAGACAGTGGACCTCATAGCTATCTGAGGGAATGTCAAGGTCCAGTAGCAGTTTGGTCAAGTAACAAGGGCCAACACCCATGTTTACGAGGACATGACCCAGCAGACAATGTTCCCTCTAAGGAGTAGTGGTCCATGAGCGTGCCGCCTCGGTCCGTGAACGCACTGCCTTGGTCCGGCATGGGACATTTATCGAAGGGGGCTGCGGGCTGGGGCCTAGGGCCTAGAAGCCAGGGGCTGGAGGCTGGAGCTGAGAGGCTGGGGGCCAGAGGCTGGAGCTGGCATGGGCTCTACTGGTTCTGAGGAAGTGCTCCACTCCCCCGCATCAGGGCTGGGGGGTGGAGCCCACACCAGCCCTCCAACCCAGCCTCCATCCCTTCCTTGCCTCACCTCGGGGAGGAGCCACTGCCTGCCCTGAGTGAGGCTCCGCCAGCTCCAGGACACTGCAGGAGACACCTTCCGAGGCCATGTGGGGGAGTGAAGCAGTGTCCCAGAGCTGGCAGAGGTGGAGCCTCACTCGGGGCAGGCAGCGGCTCCTCCCCGCA